GACCACGAATAAGTCGCCATTAGCTGAATTTCTGAGTCTAACAGCCCCAAACGACAGCACCTCATCAATAATATATGGGCCACTCCACCGGGACTTGAGTTTTCCCGGAAAAAGACGAAGTCGGGAGTTGTAGAGAAGAACTTTCATGCCCGGTACCAGCTCCTTTCGAACTATGTGAGCGTCGTGGAGTCTCTTCACCTTGTCCTTGTATATTTTGGCATTCTCATATGCCTCGTTCCTTCTTTCTTCCAACTCCGAGAGTTGCAACAATCGAGCTTTTCCGGCTGCATCTAGATCAAAGTTCGCCTTCTTAATCGCCCACAAGGCCTTGTGTTCAATCTCAACTGGTAGATGACAAGCCTTCCCATAGACTAATCTGAATGGACTCATGCCCAAAACGCCTTTGTACGCTGTACGTTGGGCCCACAATGCATCGTTGAGCCGGCTCGACCAATCCTTCCTTGATGAATTGACCGTCTTCTCTAAGATGGTCTTGATTTGCTTATTACTAGGCTCAGCCTGGCCCGAAGTTTGCGGGTGATATGGAGTAGCCACTTTGTGTGATATGCAATACTTTTTCATCAGCTTCTCAAAAAGCTTGTTGCAAAAGTGCTTCCCACCATCACTCACGATTGCTCGTGGGAACCCAAACCTACTCAATATATATCCTTGCACAAACTTGATCACAATATTAGCATCATATGTCCTCGTGGGGATTGCCTCAACCCATTTAGACACGTAATCTACAGCAAGCAAAATGTACTCATAGCCATTAGATTTAGGAAACGGTCCCATAAAATCGATGCCCCAAACATCAAAAATTTCGACTTGAAGGTTGTTAGTCAAGGGCATTTCATTTCGGCGACCAATATTCCCAGTTCTTTGGCATTGATCACAAGAACGGCAAAAAGTATGGGCGTCCTTAAAAAGGGATGGCCAAAACAAACCTGATTGTAATACCTTAAAGGCGGTTTTCTGACCGCCAAAGTGGCCTCCACAATGGAACGAATGACAGAATGTGAGGACATCAGCTTGCTCCTCATCTGGAACACATCTTCGAAGCACCTCATCCTTCCCCATCTTGAAAAGAAGTGGCTCATCCCAGAAATAGTCCCTACACATAGCAATAAAACGCTTTCTCTCTTGGGAAGAGAGATTAGGCCGCAGTTTACCACAACACAAATAGTTCACAATGTCAGCATACCAAACACTTTTCGACACTTCATGCGCATGTTCATAAGGAAAATTATCATTAATAGAATGATGTGCAATCAATGAAGATGAAGACTCAGAAGGTACAATGCGTGACAAGTGATCAGTAACTACATTTTCACAACCTTTCCTATCCTTAATGTCAACATCAAATTCTTGCAGTAATAAGATCCACCGAATGAGCCGAGGTTTAGAATGAGTTTTGCTCAAAAGGTACTTCAATGCCGCATGGTCTGAGTGAATAATAACTTTAGAACCCAAAATGTATGATCGAAATTTTTCAAGAGAAAAGACCACAGCGAGAAGTTCCTTTTTGGTGGTAGTGTAGTTCTGTTGGGCCCCATTAAGAGTCAAACTAGCATAATAAATCACTCGAAGCAATTTATCAACCCGTTGACCCAAAACGGCGCCCACAACAAGATTAGATGCATCACACATGATTTCAAAAGGAATCGACCAATCAGGGGCAATCACAATAGGGGCACTCACAAGCTTGCTTTTTAACTCATTAAAAGCACGTAAACAAGCATCGTCAAAGACATATGGCACATCTTGGGCAAGCAAATGACAAAGAGGTTGACTAATTTTTGAAAAATCCTTAATGAAACGCCTATAGAACCCCGCATGCCCCAAGAAACTTCTAATCCCCTTAACATTCACAGGAGGGGGAAGTTTTTCAATCACATCAACCTTGGCCTTATCGACCTCAATCCCCCTACAAGAAACAATATGACCCAAAACAACTCCACTTTTGACCATAAAATGACTCTTTTCCCAACTCAAGGTCAGATAGGACTCAATGCAACGTTCAAGGACTCTAGACAAATTGCTAAGACAATGGGAAAAAGAATTACCAAATATAGAGAAGTCGTCCATGAATACCAGCAAGCAGTCCTCAAGCATATCTGAGAAGATACAGAACATGCACCTTTGAAACGTACCCGGTGCATTGCAAAGGCCAAAGGGCATCCTTCTGAATGCGAACGTACTAAAGGGGCACGTGAATGTCGTCTTGGGCTGATCCTCGGGTGTTATGGCCACTTGGTAGTATCTGGAGAGCCCATCGAAAAAGCAGTAGAACTGATGGCCCGAAAGACGATCAAGGATCTGGTCAATAAACGGCAATGGAAAGTGGTCCTTCTTGGTCACAGCGTTCAGCCGTCTGTAATCGATACACATACGCCACCCGGTAGTAATGCGGGTGGGGACCAACTCCTTCTTGTCATTTTCGATCACGGTTATGCCTCCCTTCTTTGGCACCACATGAATAGGGCTAACCCACTCACTGCTCGCCACCGGATATATCAACCCCTCAGAAAACAACTTCAGCACCTCTTTCTTCACTACCTCCATCATATTCGGGTTCAGCCGGCGCTGGCTATCCCGAAACGGTTTGGCTCCTTCCTCTAGGATAATTCGGTGCATGCATGTTGAGGGACTAATCCCCTTGATGTCTCCTAGACTCCACCTGATTGCCTTCTGGTTCTTTCTGAGCATGGCTATCAGCTCCTCCTCTTCCTCATTGTCGAGCTCAGCAAAGATGATCACCGGCTTTTGATGCGCGTCATCCAGAAAGACATACTTAAGGTGCTTGGGTAGCTCCTTAAGCTCGAGTGTGGTCTCCGCTCGGGTATGGCCCTCTCCTACTTCAAAAAGCTCCACCAAAGGCTCGTCCGCCTCCTCGAAAACCGGCAACGACTTGTCCTCGAACTCCTGAAATACCATCTCATCAACAAAGGGATCAGCAAGATCAATAAAAGCGCATTCTTCTATGAAGTTGACGGAAGATGAAGACATGGCTTCTCGGACAGAAATAGACACTGATTCCCCTAAAACTGTCATGTTCAGGGTCCCGTTCTTCACATCGATGAGAGTGTTGGTCGTCGCCATGAAAGGTCTCCCGAGAAGGATGGTGTGATCCTTCCCATTCTCGTGCACATCCCCAACGTCTAGAACCACAAAATCCACTGGAATGATAAGCTTACCAACCTTCACGAGAACATCCTCGACTATCCCCTTCGGGTACCTGATGGAACGGTCTGCTAATTGAAGGCACATGCGAGTCGGCCTCAAATCCCCAAGGCCAAGCCTCTGAAAAATCGAGAAGGGCATGAGATTAATTCCGGCTCCGAGGTCGAGCATCCCCGAAGCTACCTTCCCATTCCCCAGAGCTATCTGAATGATGAAACCACCGGGATCTCGCTCTTTCTTGGGCAAGTCGTGCTGCATAGCACTTGCCGCCTCATACACGACTACCTTCTCTCCATCTTCGAACTTCCTCTTTTTGGTCACCAAGTCCTTAAAGAACTTACCATATGATGGCATGTTCTTAATCACATCGAGCAGAGGTAAGTTAACGTTCACCTTGGAGAGCATGTTAAAAAGATCTCGGAACTGCTTCTCTTGCTTCTCGTTCCTAATTCGGTCCGGAAAGGGAATGCGCGGCTTATACGGATTCGGCGATTTATGTAACACCCGCTCATCTGTCACCTTCCCGGACTCTGCTTCTTCGATCCTTTCAGAATGGGTCTCCTTATCCTCAGGCTCTGGCATCTGAACCTTGTTGTCCACCTCCTTCCCGCTTCTGAGAACTGTTATAGCTTTTGCTTGCTCAGGCTGACTAGGTAGCTTGTCTTTGCTCCTCTCAGTCTCAATTGTACCCACCCGAGCGGCCAGTTGGCCCAACTGAGTCTCAATGCGCTTGATGGAGGCGTCCTGATTGACATCCCGCTGCTCTCTGTTCACCATGAACTGTAGGATCTTGGCAACGTCCTCATGGAGGTTCGAACTCGACCCCGCTTCTGGTCCCCTCTGCTGTTGCTGTGGCTGCTGTGGCTGAAAGTTCGGCCGGGGCACAAAACTAGGTCGAGGTTGTTGTTGCATGAAGTTCGGACGTGGTGGCTGAAGGGTGTTGGAGTTATTTGACCACGAGAAGTGCGGGTGGTTCTGCCAACCTGGGTTATACGTGTTGGAATATGGGTCATTGGCCGGCCGATTCTGATATCCTTGTAAGGCACTGGCATCTGCATACTGCTCACTGGGGTCCTGCTCGAAAGATGAGGGGCATACTTCGGACCTATGCCCTGGGACTCCACACGCCCCACAAGTATCAATAGCGAATTTATTAACCGGCTGAGACCCTCGTGCGGTAAGCAGCCTCATCTGCTCAGTAAGTTCAGCTAGCTGTTGAGCCACCGCATCATTGCTTGTACCGACCTCGTTCACTACTGCCCTCTTGCCTCGCGTGCTCTTCTGGGACGAGTTCGTACTCATCGTCTCAAAGATCTCAAACATCTCCTCGGCTGTCCTTGCTCCGATATCACCTCCCGCCGCGTTGTCGACCATATACTGCAAGTTCTGGTGGAGGAAATCATAGAAACAGTTCATGAGTAGCCCCGGAGAGAGGTTGTGATGGGGGCACTGCCGTTGGAGATCCTTGAACCGCTCCCAAGCCTCATGAAGAGACTCGTTCGGTAATTGAGCAAACGAGACGATCTGTGACTGGAGCTCTTGGGTCTTCTGATGGGAGTAATATCTCCCAATGAACTTCGAATACACCTCGGTCCATGTAGTGAGAGAACCGGGTGCAAGTGTCATGAACCAGGCCTTAGCCCGGTCTTTCAGAGTCTCGGGAAAACACCTCAGCTTCAACTGCTCGTCGTCAAGGTCATTGAGAGGGAAAGTGTTGAGGACATTGTAAAATTCCCGGATGAAGTTGAGTGGATCCTCACATGGAAGCCCGTGGAATGCCGGCAACTGATTGTAATGAATCATTTTAAGCTCGTAGTTCCGTGCAGCGTCTGGCAACCGGATGCATGAAGTGACTGGCCCGATAACCGGCTGGGCCAAAGTTCGAAGAGTGTTACGGGGAGCTTGTTGCTGTCGTTCCCCCATATTGAGGTTGCTGCCTTCGGATGATTTAGGAGAATGTTCGTCTTCCCCTTTCGATTCCAGAGTAAGCTCTTCCAGCAGCTCCCTCAGGCTCTCGTTGACAGATTTGTTGATTGGAGATAGCAGTTTGCGTCCACTCCTTGTACGCATACACAAAGACAAGAAACCGTCACGAGCACCAGATAAACAAAGAAGAGAAACCTAAGAAAAACAAGGAACAAATAAAATCAAGAACAAATAAACTAGTAAAATAAAACGAAGAGAAACACTGAAAATAAAATGAATAGGCGCACAAAATAATCCTAAACCTTCCCCGGCAACGGCGCCAATTTTGTTGTTAGTATTTTTACCGGAGTAGAATCAACAGATTCGTTCCCCGGGTCGTATCGCAAGGAAGGTTAGCCGGACTATTAAGCACGTTTACTCAACACAATTAAAAGAAATCAAATTCCTAAACATTCTAAACCAAATAGTTGGATGGGTTTTCAGTTATCAGCTACTGCAAATAATTAAACAAAGCAGAGAAAATAGTAAGCAAGGACGAAGAACAATTATGATAAAAGCGCTAGGGTATCGGGGATCTCGATTCCGGTTCTCAATGCATTTAGCAGACAATGAATTACTCGGCTAAAGGACTCAATAAACTAACTCATCCAGAGATCATTCTCAATATCTCGCGAAACAAGAGAATAAACATAAATAAATCAATCACGAATCAATTAGCACTTAGGCAATACGTTACCGAACAAGCCTATTCTTAACGAGCCTAGATCGAACAATTTATCCCCTTTCGGTTTTTTAAATTGATTAATTAGATTAAGATGGAGATCAAGCATCCAAACCCTAGGTTAAGCACAACTCGAAAAGATGAGCAATTACTAAGCATTTAAACGAAATCGAACCGGTCCGATAATCCCCTACCCCTAGCTAGTGAATTTAGCTACTCATCATGCATTCAACATCAACATCTTCAATAATCAAAGCCATCTCAATCGAAAGAAAAACGAAAGTAAAGCTTACGATTAACGAATCCAATGTCGAGAACAATAGAAAAACCAAATCCAAGAGTCAAATCTCTAAGTTTCCACCCTCAAGATTGATCCCCAAGACAAGAAAGTGAAAAATATGAGTTCTGGAACTTTTTTCGTACTAGGAAGAACAAAACCTAACATAGAACATAATGAAAAACGATCCCAAAAATTGACTTTAAAATTCTGAAAATCGCGGCCTTCGCGGCCCGCGGTGAAGAAACTTCTGCGGCCGCGACCAAGTCCGAGGTCGCGGGAATGTTCGGCCTGAAAAGCTGTCTCTTGCGACATTTTGTTCGCCGCAGGCCGCGGTGAAGGAATGTCGTGGGCCGCGGCGAGTAAAACTGGGCGCTGGGGAGATTTGTTCACCGCGGTCGCGGGAACATCGTCGCGGGCCGCGGTGAAGGATTTCGGTGACCCGGCTGTGATTTCCGGCTCGAATCCACGCATCTGGACCCGGAATTGGATTCCGTCTTTTCCCACTCGACCCCAACTCATCCATCTATGTAGTAGTCCACGCCTGGTCATTCCTCGAGCGATTCATCCTGCACACCACCAACAAGAAACGAACGGAGAAACCGGAGAAAAGAAACAAAAAGACCAAAAACGAACAAAACAAAGGAAATGCAAGACGAGACTCAGAATGGACCAAAAGCCAAAAAGAAATACCTAAAGTGGGAAAAATAAACATAAAATAAACACGAAAACACTACCAAAAAAATGGAACGAACAACTCCCCCACACTAAAACCATTGTTCGTCCCGAACAATAAAAAGAACAGAAAAAACAATAAAACAAGCAAAGAGAGTGGACACTGGTTTCAAACGAGAAAAGTCTCTGATTGATCAACTAAGTTGAAAAGAATTCCAATGATCTCGAGAACACACCTCAACAATGAACTCAATCACATGATAACACAAACTCTCTAGAATGGAGATATGATATAATGCCTCACTCATTTTCTTGCAAAAAATAAAAGATGGAGCACTCAAATTGGTCGTCAGCCAAATCGATCATACGCTTGCCTATCATCTAACCACTACTCTAAATCAATCAAATCAAGACAGTGAATCAAAAGGACTTTTATGGACGTAATGTAGGCTTAAAGGGTCGGGTAAGATAAATATAGGTCAAGTGGCTCAAATATAGCATATAACATAACTCATCACTTCAACCATAATCATCAGCTCCGCCGGTATTAACCGGTCCTCTATCCTTCACCAAAACCAACACACTGAAGGCACATGCGAGTCGGCCTCAAATCCCCAAGGCCAAGCCTCTGAAAAATCGAGAAGGGCATGAGATTAATTCCGGCTCCGAGGTCGAGCATCCCCGAAGCTACCTTCCCATTCCCCAGAGCTATCTGAATGATGAAACCACCGGGATCTCGCTCTTTCTTGGGCAAGTCGTGCTGCATAGCACTTGCCACCTCATACACGACTACCTTCTCTCCATCTTCGAACTTCCTCTTTTTGGTCACCAAGTCCTTAAAGAACTTACCATATGATGGCATGTTCTTAATCACATCGAGCAGAGGTAAGTTAACGTTCACCTTGGAGAGCATGTTAAAAAGATCTCGGAACTGCTTCTCTTGCTTCTCGTTCCTAAGTCGGTCCGGAAAGGGAATGCGCGGCTTATACGGATTCGGCGATTTATGTAACACCCGCTCGTCTGTCACCTTCCCGAACATGTTCAATTCCATCTAGGTTGTGAACCAACGATTCTTGTTTCGCAAGTAACTGATATAGTGATCTTCGGTACGCCCGATGACGACCCACTTATCTACATGCAAAACAACAGAACGTGGAACTTATTTAACCAAACATAATTTTCATTCATCAAGGAATAACAAGTGTAATATCCACTAAAGCAAAGCTTAAGTATATAACACCAACAGGTTCGACCGTGGATCGAGTTCGGCAGGGCAACTCGGGCCAGCACGAACTCGACTGACACGGCTTAGCCGATGCACGAGTTTAAAAACGGTGCCACGGTCACTGACGCAGGGGCGTGCTTGGACCACGGCTAACGGAACGACGCGTAGACGGCTAGTTGGATGGACTCGGTGCACGGGCACGCACTCGGGGGTTTGACTCGGACTCGGTGCACGAACACGCACTCGGCGGCTCAACTCCAACGGTCGGACGAGAGGCGATCACAGGCACGAGACGACGATACGCATTACGAATTACGATACGACGGTTAAAGATTATCTAGACGGTACTAGGGTTCAGACAATTATAATCGGATCTGGAAAAATACCCGGTTATCAGAACTAGATAAAACTAGGGTTCGATTCTCGAAGAATTTTAACTCATTTAAGGTCGATAATTAATATATATATTCTCTGTGATTTATAATAAATCTATAATCCACAACTGCAGCTAAAATCTCAATCAAACTAATATTTTATTTTTACGGCATTAATATCTAAAGTCTCGATTTTTATAACTAAGTCAAACAACATCCAAAATTTACGAAAATCGAAACATAACATCCACAATATATGTATGGTCCACGGTCAACAAATCAAGTCCAAGTTCAACTCCTAGTCTAGTCAACTAAAAATCGCTACGACCGGTCAACACATTTGACCGACTCGTTTACCTATCAAACAACGTCCAAAAATTCTCAAATTCGCACCTAAGCCTCAAAAAGACGTAATGAATTTATTGGTATTTATTTCAACATTTTATCGAATTTATTTTAAAGGTCCCGAAAAATAGCTTTAAGCTCAAATGTCCCAAAAATTTAAAATCGCTCAAATCACCCAATTCACTAATTTTATATCATCTCAAATATTTTATCTAAGCCATTGGAGTCCGGTTTAAGATTTTTTTACCTTAAAACGGCACGGATTGAATCAAACGAGAGTGGATCGGGCTAGAAAATGGGTCCAATAAAACAAATCGGGCCAAATTAGAGGCAGTGGGCCTTGGACTCGGCCTGAGGGTGCTGAAATCGGACTAAAAGTGCCGCTGGTCGCACGCGTGGACTGCAGCTGGTCAGGTTTGGAGCAAGGGGCGCAGGTTTGGGCAGTTATCGCAAGGTGGTGCGAGCTTGAGCTTGGGAGGCGCGCGTGGAGGTGTTGGCTCGCGGGTTTGGTCAAGGGAAGGTCCCAGTCGCGGTGAGGTGCTATTTTTCAGGCGTGAGCTCG